TCCGGGCCAGCACGGTCCGAGGCTTAGGAAAGCCCAGAACTATTCCGGGCTGGCTCGGAATATGCCCACCAACAGCTCGGCTTGGTAAGCTCGAAAAAGTGTATAGAGACCCTGACCGGGCCTGGCCCAATAGGCCCAGAAATTTGATATTTTAGAATTGAAATATGCATAAAAAACATATTTTACGATGTAAATCGACAAGATCTCCAGAGGAAGATCCCTCAGATATGAACACCACAAACTGATTTTAAAAGTGATAATAGAGAGTGGGACTATCAAATTATGATCCGAGGTCAGATCTACTCATAAGTGAGCAGATCTGCTCTTAAGTTAGTGGCAGGGCCAACATTGATTCGAAATATGAAATATTATGTAAAAAGCAATAAGACTAATTTAATTCTAATAAAATAAACAAAAAATAAGAAGAAACACATGAAAGAGTAAAAACGTACCAGACCGGACCAGTTGGCCCGGACTCCCGAGGATTCAAGGCCTCACTCGTATTAGAACTGGCTGAGTTTATGCGATGCGCCCTCTTTATCTTTCTTCAGGTTTTGAACAGGCCTTTGCTTAGTTGGATGGATTTCTTTATCTAAGGGCTGCAAGTGGCCTAAAGCTAGGGTTTTCCTAGGTTTAGTTTTTTCTCAGGTTTCATAATCTTTAAGTTTTTCTGGGCACAAGAGCTAATTAGGTCTAAATGGTCTCTAGAGTCTAAGACTCTCAGGAGTCTAAAAAGTCTTGAAATGACATTTCATAAGCTAAAAATCGTCTGAAATGGATCATATATTCTAACCAAAAGATTTTTCAGCCCGGACTATCGTTTTGGTGGTCCAAGGCTTGAGCGACACTGAAAGCGTCGCCTAGACCAAAATAGTTCAGGTTCATTGAATCTGGCCAAAAATGATCCGGGAGTTGTTGGCATGCGAAAACTTCCAATTTGGGGCAGTTGGGTCTGGGCGACACTTGGAGCATCGCTCAGACCAATCTGCTCAAAATTAGCAGATTCGAGTCTAGTGTGATTTTGGGATCGTCGGGATGTTGCCTACCAAAAATCAGTCGATTTGGATCAGTCTGCACTGGGTGACACTACTGGTGTCGCCTGAGCGATCCTGCTAGTGTCGCTCGGGTAGCTGGGTCGCCTGAGCGACCCTGTTGGTGCCGCCAGGGCTGCTAGGTCGCCCAAGTGACCTTGCTAGTGTCACCCAAACTAAAACTGCCCAAAATGGAAACTTCCTAGTTCTAGAGGGATCTAGGGGCCGTCAAGATGCTACCTACTAAATATCAGCCAATTTGGATTAGTCCGGGCTGGGTGACACCAACGCTATTGGTGTTGCACGGGAGACACTGGTCAAAACTGCCCAAAATGGAAAATTTCTAGTTTTGGGGGATTTAGGGGCTCTTGTGATGCTTTCTGCCAAAATTTGGGTAAACAATAAGTGTTTTTCAATTTTTAATGATTGTTTTACTAAAATAGGGCATTTTGCAGGATTCTGGATCACAGGGTTGGTTTATGGACTATAGTGGTCTATGGTCTGGGGGTTTATTGTGATATTGTGGTCTTAAGAGTTCAGGAATATCACAGAATTTGTCAATTTTAAAAATGAGGTCTTTACCAACATTATTGGTTCATACCTAAATTACTTTTAACATGATTACTTAAGTACTTGATTTTTTATTTTCCCATTTAGAAATTGGTCTTTGCTTCTTGCTGACATAGAAAAAGTCTTTGAAAAAATATGAATTCTTAGGGCGAGAAAAATAGAATTATTAAATGGTTTCCATATAGAATCAAGAAAACAAGATCTTTCTCATGGTTGGTGTATAGGTAAGCAACTTGTTTTTATAGCAGTTCCATAGAGGAATTTCTCGTCTCTTCTTTATCTTTTATTCTAAGGCATCTCTTACATTACAAGTCCATGGTTGAATATGTAATATGTATGTGACTGGTTTAGCCAATTGGAGGGTGTTTATCTTTTACTGTGAATATGTGAACTCGAGCATTGGAAGAAGCTTTGGGTGGAGTTGGAAAATAATTACTGGGCTACTGGGAACCTTAAGTTTGATTGATCTTAAAGTTGGGAATTGCCTTTGGTTGGGCTTGGATGGAGTTGCAAAAGAATTATTGGGCTATTTGGGAACCTTAAGTTTGATTGATCTTTTGATTGCCAATGAAAAGTTGGGAATTGCCTTTGATCGGGTTTGGATTGGATTTTTCGGAAATAATATATAAAATCAGGTATTAGCAAAATTCTTCCTAATTTCAGCTGAGTTTTTCAAATTGAATTCATTCTTACGACCAAATTTCAGCTGAGTCTACTCTCTCTCATCTTATTGCCTATTGGTGCCACATCTTAACTCTCCCGAATGGATTCATTTCGATAAGATTGCAACTTTAGATGATTTTTAAGGTGCACTTCCAAACTTTGTCATGTGATACATTTTTTGTGTCGAAAATTCTTAGAATGGTGCAAACATCTATTTTTATTGCTAATTATAAAAAGTTAAACACCAAAAAAGCTTCAAATCAAACAAATCTATAAATGCATGAAAATCTTGAAAATTGGCAGTCCAGATGATGTGTTGTAAGATGTACTATTTTTAGGATTTGAGATCTCTTTTTTGTTTTTCTATCCATATATCTCAATGTTGAGATGATCAATTAGATGTTTTTCCAACATCAAAACAACTTTTTTCTGAAAGATTTTAGAGGTGGACCATAACTCTATATTTTAAGGTTAAGTAAATCTCAAACTCGGTTAGCACTGGAACAACTTCTAACACCTTTAAATTTGAGTATTTATTAGGTACTCAAATGCACTCTTAAAATTTGTTTGAAGTTCATTTGAAATGCCATTAAAATCTAATAATACTAACTCTCATATTCTCTTTTATGTTAACTCTGCCATTGTTGGGCCTAAGTCGGTCATGCATGTGGAAAGGAGAATGGTTGTGTTAGGTTGGCAGTCAATGTAAACTATTTTTCATATGAATCTTGAACTAATCAGATGACTTCAAATAGTTGGGATACAACTCTAAAGATGATGATGATGATAAGGTAGTTTCATTTTATTTTTTTTCTCCTCATCGGTAACTCAACACATATTTATTTTTATTTTTATTTGTAAAAATGAAATTCAAGAAATCATTTAAGAGAGAGACTCCCGTCAGGGTCACATTTTGGGGCTCTCCCCTTTTCATGACCTTCCAATAGATCAATCGGACGCTGCTGAGCTTTTCAGCACATGCATCATGGTATTCTTCTGTGCATATTTAAAACTCGCTCTCAGCCGTCAGATCAAGTGGACCAAACGGTTGCATTTCTCATCTTGAGCTCAGAAAAATGTTGACGTGGCGAAATGTCAGCCGTTAAATTCTCTGATGCTAAGGTTTTGAAATATGCTACTAAACTGTTGTAAGCAGCGTTTTAAAAAACGTCGAGTCGAACCGAATTCGCCTGGTTCGACTCGGAAATCCTGAAAAGGGGATCGGATCGCCTAAAAAATCGGAAATCGTCCGGTTTTAGAGAGAACCGGACGATTCTGTACAGTGAATCGCCGATTCACTGTACGGAATTGGCGAGTCCGAACAGTGAAATCGGCGAGTCCGTACGGTAATTTTTTTTTTTTTTTTTTTGTGTAATCCATG